CTCTCAAGAGTCTTCTCCAACACCACAGTTCAAAAGCATCAATTCTTCAGCACTCAGCTTTCTTTATAGTCCAACTGTCACATCCATATATGACTACTGGAAAAACCATAGCTTTGATTAGATGGACCTTTGTTGGCATTAAATTAAGACTATTTTATTTCTACATGTTACTTGATCAGCATGATTCTTTGTGCCTCGTTTTAAGTTCTCATTCATAATTGTCATTTGAACCTCTTAAATGGACTGGTTTGTTTTGACTGTTAGGCCAAATTTTTAATTAATTTTTAAAAATTAATTAGTCAGTTGTTTTGGCTGTGCTGCACGGCTTATGGGATCTTAGTTCCCTGACCAGGGATTGAACTGGGGCTCTTGTCAGCGAAGTGTGGAGTCCTAACCTCTGGACTGCCAGAGAATTCCCTAGGCAGACTTTAAAACCTTAAGCTTGACATAAATCACATATGCGACCAAACCTGTGTGTAACTGCCCAGATTGCCCTGGGAACCTGGGGAAAATGTCTTTACAGGCCTTCTAGGAGGAGATGAATCAGAAGTATTGCTTTGGAATAAAACAGCACACTTTCTTCTTTAGTTTTGAAGAGTTATACAAGTTTCCTGGTATATTTGATGTCAGAGGCTCAACATCTAACATTTAAGCATTTTCACTTATGAGGTGGACACAGGTTTGGTAAAGACGTAAGCACTTTTGGAGTAGAAATAGGTAGGGCAGGGCTGTCTCTCGGCCTTTGGGTGCGTACAGGGTGACCCTTGGAAGAAGCCCTCCTCCTCCTCCTCAGAGTAGCAGACCTTCTGTGCTGCTGCCTCGCTGCTGGGCGAGGGTTTGTGTCCATTTCTTGCCGTCTCTGCCCTGCTTCTTGCAGGGAGTGTGTGTGTGTGTGTGTGTGTGTGTGTGTGTGTGTGTGTGTGTGTGTGTGGCTGGGGGTGGGGATAGGGTTGCAGGAGGTGTGCCTTAAGGCAGCAGTCCCCAACCTTTTCGGCACCAGGGACTGGATTCATGGAAGACAGTTTTTCCATAGATGGGGGTGGAAAGAGAGGGGGGTGGTTTCGGGATGATTCAAGTGCATTATTACGTTTACTGTGCACTTTGCTTCTACTGTTATTATTACATTGTGATATATAATGCAATAACTATACAACTGACCATTAACGCAGAATCAGTGGGAGCCCTGAACTTGTTTTCCTGCAGCTCGATGGTCACATCTGGGGGTGACGGCAGACAGTGACGGTGGGATCGCCTGCCACTCACCTCCTGCTGTGTGGCCGAGTTTCTCATCAGGTCACGGACCGGTACGCCTGGGGGTTGGGGACCCTCACTTTCAGACTGCATTGATGGTGGGGACTGTCCTGCACTGGTGACAGAGAGCAAGGCATGGAAGTCTAGTCATGCTGTATCAGCATTTTAGTGGTGTTTTGGGGATGGGATTCCCATTGCAATTGTGTAGATTCCAATTGTATTCACTTTACAGTACAGAAAAATCAATATTTCTGTGAGGTTCTAACTTATGTAAGGGCTTCTCAAGTGGCACAGTGGTAAAGAATCTGCCTGCTAATGCAGGAGGCGCAGGAGGTGTGGGTTCAATTCCCGGGTCTGGAAGATCCCCTGGAGAAGGGAATGGCAGCCCACTCCAGGATTCTTGCCTGGAGAATCCCATAGACAAAGGAGACTGGTGGGCTGCAGTATGTGGGGTCACAAAGAGTTGGACATACCTGAGTGAGCACACACAATTTACATAAGTGTGTAAAAGAATATTTTACTTTTCTGTTACTTGTGGCTGTTGCTATGTGTGGGCTTTCTCTAGTTGCAGAGCGCGGGGGCTCCTTTCCACTTGCGGCGTGGGGGCTTCTCAGGCAGTGGCGTCTTTTGTAGAACACGGGCTCTAGGCGGGCGGGCTTCAGTAGTTTTCAGTGCAGGGACCTAGCTGCTCCATGGCATGTGGGATTTTTCCCGGACCAGGGGTCGAACCTGTGTCCTCTGCATTGGCAGACAGATTCTTTACCACTGAGCCACCAGGGAAGCCCTATATAGGTTTTAAAACGAGTAGTTCTTTCTGCATTTTTCACATCCTTCTGTTTCATCACCTGACCACCATGAATGTACATAGTGGAGTTGCCTTTGCCCATTGGGTGGGTGAGTGGGTAATAGGAGGGATAACAGAGAGGGTAAGATTCACATGAGAGCATTTGCTGTGATGTCTTAGAGAGAATGGTACTGAAAGTCGCCTGCCTGTACTCTTTGCCAGGAAGAAGATGGTGAGGGATGAGAACATAGGATGACCTCACGAGCCCTCAAAGTCGCGTTTGTGAGCGCGGGTGAATTTGTCAGAGACTCTGTGGAGCAGATGGGTTTGTACAGCCCTGCTCGTAGTTCCTGAAGGTTCCTCCAGCTTTTCCAAGTTGAAACAGCTTCAGTCTGTGGTTAAGGTCCCAAGTGAATCCCAACAAACAGGCTTTTTCCATAGCACTTAATAAAACGTAGCTGTGTTACAGATATGTGCATAGCCACGCACACATGGGAATGGATTCCAAGTGGTAAACGCTGTAGATCTGTTTAAAAAAGACACCCCCCACCTCTTTTCATTTGTTAAAGCTGCTTCTTAAAATACTGTTGGCAACCTCATTCCTTATTATTGAACTCTCTCCAGAGGTGAGTTTTTCGGGGAAAGTTTAAAGCAAACTTATGTGCTGTTTAATGTCATAGTAGGATGGAAAAATAGTAGAAATGAACGGTAGATTTCTCTGATTTTCTTGGAACTTCAAAGTGGCTGACCCAGTTGTTCATTTAAAATGTTCTCTCTTGGGCTGGAATATAGATTTGGGAGAGAATTCTACTTAGGCAATATTTTGGAAGCATTACCATTGAAAGATGGGATTTATAATTTGCAGTCCACATCTGTCTTTCCCTTAAAGAAATCATCTTTTCCATAAGAAGACCCAATTTTAAGTAGTCCTCACTTTTCAAGTCAGTGCATTCTTGGAAATCCTATCTATCTATCTGTGTATGTATGTATGTGTGTGTGTGTATATATATATACACATATGTATATATGTATATATATATATATATAATGTATATTATTTTTAAAGCCTTTATTTGTTACAATATTGCTTCTGTTTGATGTTTTGCTTTTTTGGCTATGAGGCATGTGAGATTTTAGCTCCCCAACCAGGGATCGAACCCACACCCTCTGCACTGGAAGTCAAAGTCTTAACCACTGGACTACCAGGGAAGTCCCTGGAAGTCCTATTTTTGAATACCTATCAAAAAGACACATCATGTTTCCCTATAGGAATAGCTGCTAGTATTTGCAGTGTATGCAGACATCATTGTAAGCATTTTATGTTGTTAACTTAATTCTCACGACAGCCTCATGAAGTAGATGCCATTATTTTAATTTTATATGTGATTTAAAAGAGAGAGATTTAGCAACTTGTCTAGGGTCAAACATTAGTTAATGGGGACATCAGAATTTATTTAGGCAATTAGACAGCAAAACTTGGTAATTCTACCCCTAAGATATATTGCCTCTCAAACACTGTTAAACCATTATTGTGGTTTCTTAAAGTAAGTCTTTACCAGCCAGATATGACCAAGAGTGTATTGTAAAAGCAAAGACATGTTAATTTTTTTAAACTTTTTATTTTGTTTTGGGGTATAGCCAATTACCCTAATTCTTTACCAGCGCAGCTGGTAAAGAATCTGCCTGCAATGCAGGAGACCCTGGTTTGATCCCTGCGTTGGGAAGATCTGCTGAAGAAGGGATAGGCTACCCCCTCCAGTATTCTGGCCTGGAGAACTCTACAGTCCATGGGGTCGCAAAGAGTTGGGCATGACTGAGTGACTTTCACTTTCATAGCGAGTTAAGTGTTGACGATAGTTTCAGGTGAGCAGTGAAGGGGCTCAGCCATACATGTACCTGTATCCATTCACCCCCAAACTCCCCTCCCATCCAGGCTGCCACATAACACTGAACAGAGTACCATTTGCTATACAGTAGGTCCTTGTTGGTTATCTGTTTTAAATACAGCAGTGTGTCCATCCCAAACTCCCTATCTATCCCTTCCCCTCATCCTCCCCACCCCACAACCATAAGTTCATTCTCTGAGAAAAAACATGTTATTTATTAAGTTATTCAATGTCAATAACTGTAAAACTTGAAATAGAAAAATTCTCTCCTAAGGTAGTAATAAATGTATTAATCAGATTTACTAGGCAGAGGCCTCAGTCTCACCCACTGAAAGCAGGTACTTTTTCTGTGACCTAAATTTGACTGTGAATAATATGCTAATGAAATAAAAATGTAATTGGATATTTACTTTTAAACCTGTGGTTTAGACTTTAGGAAGCCTTTTGTGGTTTGGATGGCCCAGTTTCTAAATAAGACTCCCAAGAAATGTGCACCAATGCTTTCTCTCACCTTCACTTTCGCAGAATAGTGTAGGTGGTGGCTGGTGTGCCAGACTGGCAGCTTTTCCAGCTGTCTTCTGGCTTCCGTAATGTCTGTTGGAATGTCAGCATATATCTTATAGTTGCGGGATCCACTGGCCTGTGGCTTTGGCTGAAGGCAGGGAAGTGGCACCTTGCTTCTGGGTGAGTCTGGTGAAGTTCCGAGGACCTGGGGGTCAGCAGCCATCACTCTGGGGCAGGGGCCCAGCCTTCAGGATCTGATGCCTGATGATCTGTGCTTGAGCTGATGTAACTGTTAGAAATAAAGTGTACAATAAATGTAATGTGCGGGAATCATCCCGAAACCACCCACACACCCCACCTCTGGCCCATGGAAAACTTGTCTCCACTGGTGCCAAAAAGCCTGGGGACGGCTGTCTGGGGTTAATGTGGCAGGTCCTTCTGAATCCTGTCTGTCTGTGTTAACACTAAATCGCCAGGACAATGAGAGTAGTTTGGTTAAAGGGTCACAAAGCAGAACCTTCGGTGGCAAGGGCTGCTAGCTTACGCTCCTGTTCTCTCCCCCTGTCTGTCTGCAGCACAAGCTCTGGATCCTCGCCGCCTATGGGATGTGGGCCTGCCGATGCGTGCTGGGCACCCAAGGCACCGCCATGGTGCTCCTTCACACCACCATCGCCTTCTGTGTTGCTCAGTTCCGCTCTCAGCCCCTGTCGTGGCTGTGTTCTCTCTCTCTCCTCTCTACACTGAGACTGCAAGATGTGGAGGAAGTTAAGGTAAGAGTCTCCCGCTTTTTTTATACCAGTGGGAAGGAGGTAACCCGTTTGGCAACGCCGTCATCCAGGCAGATGCCTTTGTTGTCAGATGAGTCTATCCAAGAACTGGGATGGGGCTCCCCCTCGTGGCTTCAGAGGGTGTTGCACCCTGCAGGGCTTTTTATCTGACTTTGTCTTAGCCCTCCAGACATGACTCAGGGACTAACACACTTTAGCCCTTGGAGGCTGTCCAGGGCCGACCCTGTACCTTTTCTCCCAGTTTGGGTAAGCATGGATGGTGCCAGATGCCACAGGAACAAAAGGAAAAGAAAGCAATAAAAAAAAAAAAAGAAAGCAATAATCTCCTTGTTGATTAGTCGCTAGGTTGCATCCAACTCTTTCTTTACCCTGTGGACTGTAGCTCGTCAGGCTCCTCTGTCCATGGGATTTCCCAAGCAAGAATACTGGAGTGGGTTGCCATTTCCTCCTCCAGGAATAATCCCCCATGCTTTTAATAAAAAATCATCTGTAAGCTGCTGTACAGTTTATAGAGAACTCTCACATCTCTATTTCATCAGAAGCCCGTGGTGGTCCCTGAAACAGACAAGGTAAGTATTTTTCTTGCACAGAAAATCTTGGGAAGCTTCTGATATTCTTTCTTTAACCATGTGTTCCTGTGGTATTTTAACTCTTGTCCATTTGTTCACTCATTCATTCACTCATTTATTGATTCATGTGATGGCAGTTAGAACTGGTGAGCCCTGGATTGGCACAGACATGGGAAAGAACACATCAGGAAGAATGAGCCAGTGGTTTTCTAATCTCTTCTATTCACCATGTGTACTTCTCTTGAAACCGGAGGCAGTATTTAACCTCTGAGTCTCAATTTCATCATTGGGAAAATGAAGGTACAAGCTGCCTTCCTCATGGAGTTGTTCTGAGGACCTAACAAGATAATGTGTTAAGCAATTTTGTAAAAATGGTAGCATTTTGAAAATTCAAGTTTTTTTTTTTTTTTTCTGTTGTTAGGCTATCTTAATTTTTCTTCACTCTCACCAGTGGACTGGGGTGAGTAAGTCAGATGGGCAGCTCTCTCCTAACAGAAGATACTTAACTTCCTGGAATGATTAAGCTACCTGATTATTTAAATAAGTGTGCTTAAAATTAGATTTGTGATAAAAATAAAAACAAATCCACATCTAACTTTGGGGGGATCTGGCAATTATTCAAAACAGTCTCGATTGTAATGATCATTTATTTGGGGACCACTAGCATCAGTTATGGGTGTTGGTGGTGAATAAATTATGTATGTTGGTGATGTGAAAAATATTGCCAGAGAGGAGGGAGCCAATGACCAGCCACCAGTTGCTCTAGGTTTCCATACTTTCACACATGCAGTTTTCTTGATTTTTCTTGGTGGCTACTGAAGTCCTGGACATGGGGTAGAAACTCTGTTCAGGGCTTAATTTTTCTGTGTAAAGCCTTGAGAGATTCTCATGGGTCAAATGAACTACTCTGTCCTTTGTCCCAATTCTGTTTTTTGTATCTATTTTCATCACCTGGTTTTTCTCATTAAAAAATAATCTGTATGTATTTTAGAAAATATGGAATACGTAGAAAAATAGATGATAAAATGATCCATAATTTTACTCCCTCAGTAGTATCTAGATTTTATCACAGTTGCTTTTAGTCTTTTGTTCTTCGCCTAGTTTTGTACATACTTGTTACTTCCTATTTCATGCTGTCTTGTATACTGACTCCTGTATGAGAATTCAGTTTCACTGAAGGCAGGGACTATTTCTTTTGATGATGTGTCTCTAAAGCTTGTTTGGAAAATAGTCCTCCACTACATGTGAAGCCAAATTAATGACAGAGAGCCAAAGGAAAAATCTGTTGAAGACATAAATCCCACGTGGCCTTTACAGACACACCATTTTATTGTGCTTCCTGGGGATTACTTTTCTAGCAAATTGACTTCCTGGCACACCTTTCTTGTTCACTTTACTCCTGTGCCCTCCCCAGCACGAGCGTTACGACCAGCTCAGCTCCACCTCAGATCATCAGGCATTAGATTCTCACAAGGAGTGTGCAGCCTCCGACCCTGGCATGCGCAGTTCACAGTAGGGCTCACTCTCCTGTGAATATCTAATGCGGCTGTCTGCCGGGGGGCAGGGCTCAGGCTCGAATACGGAGCCCTGGGAAGTGGCTTTAAATACAGGTGAAGCTTCACTAGCTCACCTGCCCTTCCCCTCCTGCTGTGTAGCCCGATTCCTAAACTGGCCACGGACCAACAGTAGCCTGTGGCCTAGGGGTTGGGGGCCCCTGTAGTAAGCTGTAGTATAGTTTATTCGTATAATATATGTAAACATAGCTTTTATGTGCAAATGGGAAACCAACCAAATTGTGTGACTCATTTTGTAGCAATATTCCATTTATTGCGGGGATCTGGAGCTGAGCCCCCAGAGTCCCGAGATCCGTCTGGATAGGTCTCTCTGTGTCTTCAGGGTTGTGGAAGGGGCTGTCAGAGTACCCCTCGGATGTAGCTAATCTGCATGCTATGCACTGGTGCGTCCCACGGGTGCGTATCTGGGAAAACCCTCACCCTCTGTTGCATCAGACTTAACACTAAGCCGATGGCCGATGTTAGGGACACTTCTGCCTGTTGCTCGTTAACTGCTTGTTCTGATGATGCATGACGTTTACCAGCTGTTCGGAGGCTCTCGGCTCCCAGGGTGGGACAGCCGCTCTGCCCGTGGAAGAGCTCTCCTTCCCCGGAGACTGGATGGGGTCTGTCCTCGACACTCAAGGGTTGTTCTCTCCTTGTGACTTCGCAGAGAGGGTGGTACAAGACGGAGACTGAATACTACCTGCTGCAGTTCACGCTGACCGTGCGCTGTCTCTACTACACCAGCTTCAGCCTGGAGCTGTGCTGGGAGCCCCCGCCGGCCCAGCGGCCCTTCTACTCCCTCCCCTGGATGCTCGCCTACGTCTTCTACTACCCAGTCTTCCACAATGGGCCGGTCCTCAGCTTCCCGGAGTTCATCACGCAGGTAGAGCCTTTCGAGGATGGCACGGGTGTTCCTGCCCGTGACGCTTCTGTCCTTGTTGCTGAGATCACTCATGAGTCTTTTCATACTGTTGTTGTTTAGTCGCTCAATCATGTCTGACTCTTTGCAACCCCATGGACCGTAGCCCACCATGCTCCTCTGTCCATGGGATTCTCACAGCAAGAATCCTGTTGTGAGTTGCCATGCCCTCCTCCAGGGGATCTTCCTGACCCAGGGATCGAACCCACGTCTCCTGCATTGGCAGGTGGATTCTTTACCGTGGAGCCACCAGGAAGCCCATACTTGGTTGCCCACAAATGTACAACACACATTATTGTCGTGAATTCTGATAAGCAGTGAAATACTTTGGGGAAGTAAGCCTTCAAAATGAAGGTCACCATGTCCCTTGTGCATGTGGGCTGTAGGAGCCCCCACCCAGGTTCCCAGTGGACTGTGGCAGCCAGAAATAATTACTGGGCACAGCCAGGAACTTGGGGGTGGGCATCCCAGGCAGGCCAGTCCCAGAGAAAGAAAACCGGGTTTTCATGGACTTACTGGGAAAATGGAAGGAGACACTGACTAAGCTCTCGGTTGGCAAACAGTTGGTGCCCTTTTATTTTCACAAATTGCCTATGAAATAGCTCTTCTGTGGCTGGGGGATTGTTCAGGGGGACCTGGGTGGGATGACAGAGTGGGGTTGAAGAGGTTTGAAGGCAGTGCAGTGGTGTGTCTTCAGGTCTGGGTGTCTGTTTCTGCCCAGGACCGCACCTGCCTCCTGGGCAGCAGTCTTGTCCGAGGCTCACGGCAAGCTGCCTTCATCATTCCCACCTCATTTCCCCTCCTACTTTGGATTCCTTCCCCCATTCCACAGCCAGCCTCGTGGAAGATGTGTACTGGGTTAATTCACACAAAGTGTGAGTAATCAGTGATGCCTAAAAACAGGGTTTCTTCAAGAATATTTCTGCGCCCCCCCAACAAAAGAATCCCGATGGAGGTGAGAATAATAACACGTATGCACACACAGTGCACGCATGTGCAGGCACATACATGTATACACATGTGCACACATGGGGAGCTGGACATGTTGAAGAGCAGGGCTAGCAGCAGTGTTTCACATTTCTGGAGGGGGCACCCTGAAAGGTGCCCCCTGCACAAATAGGAGGGTGCTTAGAAATCCCTTATTTTGCCTTAAAAATTTCACATTGTATTCAAAACATTACATTTCTGCATTATAACAATAACTTAATGTTTAAAAATTGCCAGTTAAGTCATTAAACTTTTTTCCCCTCTGCAAATGGTTTAAGTGAAATTGATATTCTAGGCGGATGTATTGATATGTTTAGCATATGGTTTCTCATACTTCAATTTGGGTTACCTAGGAGCATTCTTTTGTCGTGAAGGAATTTAAAAATCCATGTTTGAAAATCATGGTTAAAGTTGTTGTGTAAAAGCCAGAGGTGGTTTAGTGATAACAGCTGATCTTCCCACTCCGTGGTTCTTTTTTTTTTCAAACTTTAAACTTTTTATCTTGTATTGGGGTATAGCCGATTAACAATGTTCTGGTAGTTTCTGGTGAACAGTGAAGGGACTCAGCCATACATACACATGTCATTCTCCCCCAGATCTGTCTCCCATCCAAGCTGCCGTGTAACAGTGAGCAGAGTTTCATACGCTATGCAGTAGGCCCTTGCTGGTTATCCATCTGGAATATAGCAGTGTGTACGTGACCTTCCCAAAGTCCCTATCCCCTCCCCCCCGGCCACCCTAAGTGTTTTCCAAGTCTGTGAGCCTGTTTCTGTTTTGTAAGTTCATTTGTATCATATGTTTTTAGATTCCACATATAAGGGATGTCATGTGATGATTCTCCACCTCTGTCTGGCTCACTTCACTCGGTGTGACCATCTCTCGGTCCATCCGTGTCTCTGCACGTGGCCTTATTTCACTCTTTTCAATGGCTGCCGACTCAGAGATTCTTAAAGTGGGGTCTCTGGACCAGCGGCTGCAGCCTCACTTGGGAACTTGTCAGACATGCAGCTTCTCAGGCCCTGCCCCAGACCTACTGAATCAGAAACCTGGGAGCGGGGCCCCAGGGTGTGGTCCTGATGCTGAGAGGTGGAGAATCACTTTCCTAAGTTTTTTTAGAAGAGGAACTTCTTCTCCGGGTGGGGGGGGGGGGACCCTCCTTAAAAGATCAGGGTGGAGTAGGCCCAGTGTGGGGTGGGTTCAGTTCACTCACATTCTGTCTCTTTTACAACCTCCTTGTTGTTGGAGAAGGAAATAGCAACCCACTTGAGGATTCTTGCCTGGGAAGTCCCACAGAGAGAGGAGCCTGGGGCTACAGTACATGGGGTCGCAAAGAGTCGGACGCGACTGAGCACGCACCCATGGCACGACCATTGTAAATTTTAAACTTTTTTTAAAAAATTTAATTTAATTTTATTTTTTTTTGGTTTTTGTCATACATTGAAATGAATTAGCCATGGATTTACATGTATTCCCCATCCCGGTCCCCCCTCCCACCTCCCTCTCCACCCGATCCCTCTGGGTCTTCCCAGTGCACCAGGCCCGAGCACTTGTCTCATGCACCCAACCTGGGCTGGTGATCTGTTTCCCCCTAGATAATATACGTGTTTCGATGCTGTTCTCTTGAAACATCCCACCCTCGCCTTCTCCCACAGAGTCCACAAGTCTGTTCTATACATCTGAGTCTCCTTTTCTGTTTTGCATATAGGGTTATTGTTACCATCTTTCTAAATTCCATATATATGTGTTAGTATACTGTAATGGTCTTTATCTTTCTGGCTTACTTCGCTCTGTATAATGGGCTCCAGTTTCATCCATCTCATTAGAACTGATTCAAATGAATTCTTTTTAATGGCTGAGTAATATTCCATGGTGTGTATGTACCACAGCTTCCTTATCCATTCGTCTGCTGATGGGCATCTAGGTTGCTTCCATGTCCTGGCTATTATAAACAGTGCTGCGATGCACATTGGGGTGCACGTGTCTCTTTCAGATCTGGTTTCCTTGGTGTGTATGCCCAGAAGTGGGATTGCTGGGTCATATGGCAGTTCTATTTCCAGTTTTTTAAGAAATCTCCACACTGTTTTCCATAGTGGCTGTACTAATTTGCATTCCCACCAACAGTGTAAGAGGGTTCCCTTTTCTCCACACCCTCTCCAGCATTTATTGCTTGTAGACTTTTGGATAGCAGCCATCCTGACTGGAGTGTAATGGTACCTCATTGTGGTTTTGATTTGCATTTCTCTGATAATGAGTGATGTTGAGCATCTTTTCATGTGTTTTTTTGCCATCTTTATGTCTTCCTTGGAGAAATGTCTGCTCAGTTCTTTGGCCCATTTTTTGATTGGGTCATTTATTTTTCTGGAGTTGAGCTGGAGGAGTTGCTTATATATTTTTGAGATTAATCCTTTGTCTGTTGCTTCGTTTGCTATTATTTTCTCCCAATCTGAGGGCTGTCTTTTCACCTTGCTTATTGTTTCCTTTGTTGTGCAAAAGCTTTTAAGTTTCATTAGGTACCATTTGTTTATTTTTGCTTTTGTTTCTAATTCTGGGATGTGGGTCATAGAGGATCCTGCTGTGATTTATGTCGGAGAGTGTTTTGCCTATGTTCTCCTCTAGGAGTTTTATAGTTTCTGGTCTTACATTTAGATCTTTAATCCATTTTGAGTTTCTTTTTCTGTATGGTGTTAGAAAGTGTTCTAGTTTCATTCTTTTACAAGTGGTTGACCAGTTTTCCCAGCACCACTTGTTAAAGAGGTTGTCTTTTTTCCATTGTATATCCTTGCCTCCTTTGTCGAAGATAAGGTGACCATAGGTTCGTGGATTTATCTCTGGGCTTTCTATTCTGTTTCATTGATCTATATTTCTGTCTTTGTGCCAGTACCATACTGTCTTGATGACTGTGGCTTTGTAGAATAGTCTGAAGTCAGGCAGGTTGATTCCTCCAGTTCCATTCTTCTTTCTCAAGGTTACTTTGGCTATTCGAGGTTTTTTGTATTTCCATACAAATTGTGAAATTATTTGTTATAGTTCTGTGAAAAGTACCGTTGGTAGTTTGATAGGGATTGCACTGAATCTATAGATTGCTTTGGGTAGTATAGCCATTTTGACAATATTGATTCTTCCAGTCCATGAACACGGTATATTTCTCCATCTGTTTGTGTCCTCTTTGATTTCTTTCATCAGTGTTTTATAGTTTTCTATGTATAGGTCTTTTGTTTCTTTAGGTAGATATACTCCTAAGTATTTTATTCTTTTTGTTGCAATGGTGAATGGTATTGTTTCCTTAATTTCTCTTTCTGTTTTCTCATTGTTAGTGTATAGGAATGCAAGAGATTTCTGTGTGTTAATTTTATATCCTGCAACTTTACTGTATTCGTTGATTAGCTCTAGTAGTTTTCTGGTAGAGTCTTTAGGGTTTTCTATGTAGAGGATCATGTCATCTGCAAACAGAGAGAGTTTCACTTCTTCTTTTCCTATCTGGATTCCTTTTACTTCTTTTTCTGCCCTGATTGCTGTGGCCAACACTTCCAAAACTATGTTGAATAGGAGTGGTGAGAGTGGGCACCCTTGTCTTGTTCCTGATTTCAGGGGAAATGCTTTCAATTTTTCACCATTGAGGGTGATGCTTGCTGTGGGTTTGTCATATATAGCTTTTATTATGTTGAGGTATGTTCCTTCTATTCCTGCTTTCTGGAGAGTTTTAATCATAAATGGATGTTGAATTTTGTCAAAGGCTTTTTCTGCATCTATTGAGATAATCATATGGTTTTTATCTTTCAATTTGTTAATGTGGTGTATTACATTAATTGATTTGCAGATATTAAAGAATCCTTGCACTCCTGGGATAAAGCCCACTTGGTCATGGTGTATGATTTTTTTAATATGTTGTTGGATTCTGTTTGCTAGACTTTTGTTAAGGATTTTTGCATCTATGTTCATCAGTGATATTGGCCTGTAGTTTTCTTTTTTTGTGGCAT